GATATAAGTTGATAAAAACTGAATATTTTAAACTAAAAAACGTGTAGTGTAAATTTCTTAAATTTACAATTTTATTTTTGGTATTACACCCAGGAACTAATATTCACTACAACAGTTTTTAAACTATCTAACCTAAAGTAAATGTTCATGTTCTTATTAAATGATATAATATATATATATATATATATATATTATATATATATATATATATATATATATTATATATATATATATATATATATATATATATATATATACTTCTGTGAACCTGTTGTGAAGTTCCTCTATTAATAAAATGTTAGTTAAGTTCGCAACAGGTCAAATACCTACACTTAAAAACGTGAGAGATCACACCTATGCTTTCTGTAAAAAGTGGTAAATGGTTACAATATTAAAACGGTAATTTAACTTAGGAATATTCGACTATACAATTAAAAAATATTGTCAAGGCTGCAGCTTCGAAGGCTCGGACAAACCACAAGCTCTCAATTTATTTATAGGTCAAACTGGCAACAGATGTACTCAAAAAACTTGATAGTGTGTAAAAATTTATTAAAATTGGCTAAGTACTTTCAGCATGTCAAATACCATCTTGAGAACTTCATATAAAGAACAATACTTTTGCAATTTGATAATTAAGGAATTTATTTAGTTTTTCTTACATGTTTTAAAGTACTTTAGAACATTATCCTTTATTTTAACTGTTTGTTAGTTTTTCAATAATTACCCTAAGGTGAGCTTCTTGATGTTTGGTCAAGTGGACGCCAATTTATCCAACCATGGTGTATTTAATTTGATCATCACTGTTAATAATTTTCAGTTCATATTGAACTATTAATTACCAAATGAAACATCTTGTTTTTGTTTTTCCTTTAATTACTTCTAAACCGGGTCAAGCAGTTTTTGATGGATTTTTTGATAATTTTGGACATTTAAATTTTCACTTTAAAATTAACTTTATAGATTTACCGTGCATAATATGATAACTTAATTTTATGATACAGAGGTCACTTAGATTTTGTTCCGGCCTCTTGACCTACTCTTGCACCTGTTTCCCACGTTTTATTGAGACAGCCATTGGTATACCAAGCACTTTTAAATCTGATTTTTACAACTTTCGAAGGGGTCTCACCCCTATAACAGAGACGTTGGCCTTTTAACGTTTTTTTATTACATTTTATGTGAACAATAACTCTTCCATGAGGTATTTATAAACTCCTATTGGATGTAAAATCTTTATAATGAATTTTTGTAATTATACATAGTTGAATTTAATAAAACAATTGCACACTATCAAGCTGTTTAAGAACATATCCCTGTTGGCAGTTTGACCTATATTTTAGAAGTATGTAGAAGTCATACAGTATGTATCCAATTAACCTATTTAATACAGCTCCTGTAAACTGTATGTCCCGTATACCTATGTAGGTAGATTTAATCATGCACACCACATGTGGGTGTTGTACATCTTAAATCTTCACATGAAGATGCCAATTACTACTGTAAATAAGAAGCTAATTTTGGATGGTGTAATGATTTTGGAATCTAATAACATGGAGATATGTGTACGAATTAGAGTTAGAGCGATACAATAGAACGAGATAGTTAGTAGTGTCTTGGGTATCACGAAAATTTCTATGAAACTGAAAGTTAAATTATTAGTTAGATTAAATGAATGAGTGCACGGGAAAAAAGAATACAATTTAAAAAAATATTTTATTTTTAAGAATAAGAACATAACGTGGTATCAACTGGTAGCGAAATGAGAAAAAAGCTAATATAGGCAATCGAAGGGTGAAACGTTCGTAGGGATAGTAGTGCGATAATACCCAAGAAGATACGTTTTGAAACGGGTTGATGTGGGTATGAACCAAGATAAAAACATGTGGAAGAAGTCAATCCCAAGATAATGATAAACGTAAAATATCTAGTGATAAAAATTATGAGGACAATAAAAAAATCAAAATATCCTAGTTATTCTGCTTTTATCATTAAATTGACAGAAGTTTCTGAGGAGTAGAGAACGATAATTTTTTGTAAAAACAAGAAATCTTTGAAGTTTTGGAATTAAAAATAAAGATAATATTGAAAAAAAATTATCCTAACCTTTTTAAGTTGTCGTTGTGAAATAAAACCACCCTGAATGCACAAAATCCATTTTTAATATAAAAAATTATCTCTTTTTTGTGTATTTTTATGTCAAATTCTATAAAATTTGGTTAAAAAAGTCCGTCAAATGGTGTTTGGCCAATTTTGCATGATGTCACCACTTTAATTAACAGACCTAATATTTATTGCTTCCAGTCACTTCCTAAAATTTAAGGTGAAAAATTATGAGCCATGTATGTAATATTGAATTATCTCCCATTCTAGAACTAAATTATTGGTAGCTAATCCGGTTTGAATTTAATGGTTATCAAAATTAATGCGGCGATATTTAAAACAAACTTGGCATATAAGCATAAATACCAATTTTTTATTAAGTTGTCTCCCAGAAAATAATTTGAATGTCAACCAAAACAGAACAAGGGGTTGATAATTTGACTAATTTGGTAACAGTTTGAATAATTTTAAAACACAATTATAAGAGATTATTTAAAGATAAGTCGCTTTCTTTTACTCCAGTACAATAGCATAGATGGCGCTTTGGGAGATACGTTGATTAATTTTATTGTTATTCTAAAAGATTCTGTCTTTTTAAGTATAGATAGACATAGACAATATCGTTGTATTGATAAACTGTTTATTTTCCATGGGGCAGTTTTGAAACTAATTTTATACTACAACAAAGATTTTGTTCGCATTATAGCGATCTGTATCAACAGATTGCCATAATGCAAGCGATCGATTATTTTGATAGCATTCTGTATCAACGTAGAGTAAATAGTAAACAAAATCCCGAAAAAAAGAACAATTCGTCCCTTCAGAAATTTTTTAGAAACACATTTAATCTCTCCAACAGAGCAATTCTTACAACTTTCGAAAAAACATACATAAACACAGGTACGCTGGATGAACAAATCAGACTTAAGAATGCAGATAGGAAAAATGCCAAAGATTCTGAGTCATTGTAGATCTGAAAGTTGAGGATAGTGTATTGGTGGAGGCACATCTATTCACAGGAATTACCTGAAAGAAATAAGGAGACAAATCTCCAAGGAGTCAGTCAGCTTCTGTGAATACAGAACTATTTTTCAATCATACCCTTAATTTGTTACAAAACTCGGACCAATGCGAAGTTTGTGTAGTTTACAATATTTTGGAAAAAGAATTATCCAGATAAGAAAAGGAAAATGACAAAGAAACGATTGATTCTTCTATCGTTGTAGTCTACGGCCTTCAGGCAGTACTTTGTTGTTCACAGGAGGAGGCTTCTTCCGTTTCTTACACATCTAAACTAGCCGTTTGTAACTTAACGATTTTAGAACTAAAAGGTGAAAAAGTGTGCAATGCTACACCTGGCATGAAACAAGAAAATGATGGGTCAAAGAAAGTGCAAGCTGTGTGCTTAAATATTTGAGTTACTTAAATGGCAAAGCTGACGGTGCAATTAACGCAATCATTTATAGTGAGAACTGTTACATGTAGCAAAAAACAACAAATACATGATGGCCATATACAAATTTATGGTTACAACATTGGCAAACAAAATTAATTAAGCGTAAACTTCTGAGTAATGGTCATACCCAAAACGAGGGAGATGAAGCTCATTTAATCTGTTGACGGATATTCAAATGATTAAAGTAATGAAAGACGATGACATCTTTTACATCAAAACATCGTACGGATCTCACGTTTTGGAAAAGGGGAAGAAAAGAAACAATCGGAACAAAAACAGCATGATGTCTTCTAATTTCAGCTTACCCTAAAAACGTGCCATCGAGAAAAAAAAAAAGAAAAATAGTATCCTAAATTTAGTTACTAACGGGATAATAGCAATTTCTTTTAAATTCTGTAGTAATTTGTGTAACTGACTGAAAAAAATTGACAGAAAGTGGAAATTATTTTATTTTGTTTTGAATAAGTTGTTTGAATTATAAGAAAAAAATTGGTACGTTGCAACATATTTTTTAGAAAGATAGTTTAGTTTCTGATTTCGTAGAGTACTTTTTTAAATTGTCTTCGGTTTAGTTGCAAAAAAATAATATTACACCTGTGTCATTGTTTACGTCCTACCTCGTATTGTGCCTTAACGAGAATGATGATGATGAAACAATCATAAATTCTTATACATAAAGGGATCAATTTTGATGTTCCAAAAAAAGTGGGGATGCAGTAAATTTCTTAGTTAGAACCTCATTTTAAATTTCTTATTCGTCTGTAATAGGTTCCCTATACTGTTATTACTGTAGTTTAAATGCAAAGAGTAATCACATTTTAAAGTCATAGGTTAACCTGGTTACTTGTTATGAATACAACAAACAAGACTTTTCATAATTTTATCCATGTAAATGGTAGTGTGGCTCTAGTGTTAAATAACAGTAGTAAGCGATAAAAACATTAATTGTAAAATCTTTAGAACTCTTGCGGGAAAAATGTATCTTTTGCATATATGCCGATTTTATTTCACAACGACAAAATCGAAAACATTGATAGGATGTTCATATTAATAAACTCTTTGGCTCATTCAGGAATGCTTTTAAAATCAGTAAATATAGTGGACAGTATCATATTTAATCGATACTGTCGAGAACGTGAAGATACCATGTTATCTTCATAAGATAAATTGTGTTGTTATTTCTTTAAAAATAAAGATTATAAAATAGTGTTATTTCAATATTGAAAAAAACTTAAATTGTTACTTCCAGTATAACTATTAATTATTGTATATTATAGTAAAATTTTGAAATTTTGAAATACTACTACAAACGTTTAAAACAAAATTTTATTCAACAAAATAGCCAAAACAATTTGATGATTTATACGATTATTTTTCTGGACACAAGAAAAATTAAAACAGAAATAGTATGTGCTTTTATTTTAAATAAATTAATGCACATTAATATTTTCTTTAGTATCAGATACATTTAGATGCAGTTATTTGAGCTTCCATAATATGGCATATATAAAAATCATTACAATCTATATTTTCTTTGCATGAAAAATGAAGTATATGAGGTAGTTTGCTGTAACCCATTTTAGGTTTATATGTATCATAAAAGAGAATGTAGAATATAAAATACATATATGTATTCATATTTTTAAATACATAAAACTGTCCATATATGGACCAACCAAATACGTAAATATATTAAAAACATGAAATAAGTGCATCAGCAATTATCTACCTTATTGCTAAAACTTAGAAAAAGAAAAACAAATTTTGGCCTAGCCAAAAATAAAATTAATCTAAAACACATGTACCCGGTTATTTCCGAAATCCACAACCACAATTCGACCCTCAGGATTTAAACAAATGCCACTGGGTCTATCCAGTTCTCCTGGACCTCTACCGACGCGTCCGACTTTCCATAGAAAGTTTCCACTGCTTTCGAATACTTGTATTCTATTATTTCTTGAATCTGCTACCACTATATTACCTTCATCATCACAAACAACTCCTTGAGGTCGTAAAAACTGTTTAAAACTAGAACCTTCTTGGCCCAAGAATTGTGCTTGATGAAAATGCTGGTCCACCACAACCAATCTATGATTGTTAAAGTCTGTCACAATTATGTTACCTTTTGGTGTAAAACAAACACCTCTTGGCGAATCGAAATGTTTCCACATGGTCGAAGATCCTTCAAAGCCATATTTATTTAAGAAAGTTCCCTCACCGGTGAAAAGTTGTATACGATGATTTCTGGTATCAGATACAATAATTTGTCCTAAGGAATTACAGGCAACATCCCAAGGGTAGTTAAATTGTCCATTTCTTGTTCCTTTTTCTCCAAATTTTAAAATAAACGTCCCATCTGAGTTAAACACTTGTATCCGGTGATTATCTTTGTCAGCTACAATTATGTGGCCATGATGATTAACTGTTACTCCTGCAGGTCTATCAAATTGTCCAGGTGCTGTTCCTTGACTTCCAAATTTAAACAAAAACTTGCCAGTAGGACTAAATATTTGTATGCGATTATTGCTTCGATCCGCTACGATTATGTTTCCCAAATGATTACAACAAACTCCCCAAGGTCTACAAAGTTGACCATCAGCCTCTCCTTCGGTGCCAAATGACAATGTTGGTAAAGGACCGGTATCTTTAGCTACTACATGATTAGCACCGTATATAGGACGATTTCTAAGCGGTTCATCTTTTACTTCTCGTGGAAGTTTTACGAATAGCTGCGGTTCTTTAATGACTGGAGGTCTAACTACCCTGGAAGACATTAAAGAGGAATTAACGGTTAGACTGCCTATTGAGGATATTGCACGCAAAAAGCCATTATCTGGCGGTAGGAACATGATACCGTCATCTTCACAAGGTATAAGCTCTGGTCTCAGTGCACGGATTTGCTTGAGTTCATTCACAGCTTTTTCATTTACAGCTATTAGGTCGAAACTATTGGCTGAGTCTACAGATTCATTTAAAATATCGGAAATGCAGGATAATTTTGATAAGGCCATTCGAAGATTTTCCACTTGAGACATGAGTAATTTACCTTTTATTTGACGTGTTTGATCAATTCGTTGTAGGAGTTCGATTTCTCTTTCTTCTAAAGCAGCTATATATCTAAAATAAAAAACAAAATTTTAATGTATATCTAAAATATCGTAAGACTAATGAAAGATATACAGAGAAAGGTTTTTATGATATGATTTTTATTGAAAACTTAAATCAGTTTAATTCAAAATGTGTCCTTGGATCCAGAGCTAAAGAAGTCATTTATGACCATACCCATAGAAGTTGATACTGCGTCGGGACAGTGTTAGGTAACACAAAGATTCCAATTTAATTAAAAAAAAAAAAACTTCTATTAAACGGACATAAAACCATGTATGATTTGCGGCACTGAATGTTGGGTAGTTAAAAAGATGGTCAATAAATGTACTTGGCACAGATAAGAATACTGATACAGAGTGCAATGACAAAAAAGAAAAAAAAATTAAAATTGATTGAGAATTGCAGATATTCTTCTTTTGTAAAATATTGGTGTTAACTGACCACAAACCTGTAACCTCAAAACAAATATTTTTTGGTGTGAATGATTGTAGATAAGCTTTTCCTGCAATTCCTGCGACGTTATAAATATTTATTGGTTTACCAGAATTACTTAACATCCAGTTTTCTTTCTGCAGATGTGAAGTTTTATATGGACCAAAAACCCCTCAGTCCAAGAGCTGAATTTATGGCGATGTATGTGAATGAATTGTTAATAAAACTACACCGGAATTTTTTACTTTGTCAATTATATCTATTGAAATATGCGTATCATGATTATCCATGGTAATCAGTATCGGCTTACCGGCCTAAACCTGGGTGGGTTTAGTATAAAATAATGTGTTCCACAAATTACAGAAAATCTTTTTTAAAAGTAGAAATGTTCAATTTTAGATGGTTTGTGTAGATACTGTAAAAATTTAAGTTTCCTAGTTATATATAGATACGTCCAAGGCTAAATTGATACATCTTTATAACAGCAGTATAATTATTAAAAATGTGGCATGATTAATTTCCAATTTTCTAATTCGGATTTTAGTAAGTCCCAAATGAAGGATAGGCAGTTTTTTCGATAATCAAACAGTTGCTTTTCTTCTGCAACATTAAATACGTAATGAAACTATGATATCATTAATACTAGTGACCAAAGAATGTTGCTTTTTCATATAATTGGGTAACGTGGATTTACTTATATTCCATTTCTTCGTCACACTACTTATAGATACATTATTCGACAAAACTTCATGTAATTCCTCATTCAATGAGTCTTGTGATACATGGTCCCGCTTTCTACCAATTTTACTGGCACTGTGAAATATGACTCTAGTTAGACAAATTACTAACACCGAAAACGCTCGTGTACCTTTCGACACGTTCAGAGGTACAAGCAACAGTGTATACAGTGTATCTCCCAAAAATTTTCGCTTGCATCTGGACGTCGAAAGTAGCACAGCTTCCTGCATGATCTTATATAGATGTTCATTTAGACCTAGCTTTTTATGTTTCCTAAGAGGTTCCGGAATGACTCCAGTGGTAAAAATAATAATAAATATTGTCTGGGTACTTTCCATTCTCCATTGTTTCCTTATTTGCATATATATATATATATATTATATATATATATATATATATATATATATATATATATATATATATATATATATATATATATATGGGAAATTTGAAATTGTTGAATTGCTGCTTTCCTAATTATTTTAGATCAAAAGTCATAAAAAACTATTTGTAGAGGACTAAATTCTGAATTAAAAACAAATGTTAAATCCGTTCTACGAATCAAATGTACTTCAAAATTTTGCAAAAATATAATAGATTTTTCAGACCACCCCTAATAGTTAGGCCACACGTAATACAAGAATATATTAAAAAGTGTGTGTTCTATCCATTTACCATATCGATGTCAGATGTTTGACAATTTGAGTTGTCGATTTTTTTTATTTTATGATTAAATTATAAACAATGAATTTTACTAAATACTACTACTACTGAACAATATTACTTTGTGAACAATAAATTATATTGTTTACAAATCGATCAATATAATGGAATGTACTCAGTTGACGAAAAATCGCATAATGTTGTATTCAGGCAATAGCGCGAACCTTTTCCTGTCACTACCGGATCTTTATTTAACGTAAGATATTCTAATACACTAAGATTTAATTCCATGTTAAGTTAAGTTATACAACAATTCAATGAATTCCAATATACTGTTACTGTGATCTTTATTCCTAATAATAATATATGATAATTTCTAAACATAAAACTATAACAAATGTTATAATAAAACATGAATAAAACATTTTTATTATTGCTCTTTTCTCCTTAACTGAGTACATTTTTTAATCAACTTAATTTTTCTTTTAAATAATAAATCACAAAATGTTGGCCATTTAAATCATAGATAAATATAATATATAGTTGATTTAAATATTGTCAAATATTAGAAACGTCAATATGACAAAACGCAACACGTAATACACATTCTTTTCACGGCGTCTGGCCTGACTTTTAGGGGTGGCCTGAAAAATGTATTATATTTTAGCAAAATTTTGGAATACGTTTAAGTCGTAGAACAATTTTAACAATTGTTTTCGATGCATATTTGAGTCCTCTACAAATAGTTTCCCATGACTTTTGGTGTAAAATAATTAGGGAAGCAGGAATTCAACAATTTAGAATTTCTCATTGAGTTCCCTATGGCCCGTTTGACGATTCACCACAGTGTATATATATATATATATATATATATATATATATATATATATATATATAGAAACAGATTAAATTTTTCAGCAAAAGCTGCTTTTGCTAAAACAGGTTGATTTAAACTCATACAAAAAAAAAGGTAGCATGACATATTGAATGACGAGCCCGACGCCGGCTGAATTCACCGAAGTGTCTTAAAAGCAATGTAGCTTGGATGTAGACCACACTTGCAGAGGCGCAGAACAGAGATGGATAAAGAGAAAAGGTGGTGTTCAACAGGAGATAAGTCAGGGATGATTGATGATGAATGATGACGAGCAAGCTAAAAGATACATAATAAATCTTAAAGATTGAAAATCTCAAAAGTTTTTCAAATGACATAAAATGTTTTGTTTTACACTATATAAATTTACTGGAACGTTAAACTACATACACAAATAACTGTACATACTTGTTTGTATTAATTAAAATTAAAATATACTTACCGCCGCATTACATTTCTTACTTCAGTAGCAGCCTGAATAGATCTTAACTCCACATTCTCAGTCATTCTTTTTACATTGTCAATCGCCTCCCTAATTGCACTAATAGCTTGACGCGTCTCTGTATTTAACTTCTGATGAGTCGTCTTTGCCGATTCTATTGCATCTTCAATATAAATGAGTTGATGGCCACAATGTTCTTCTAAGAGACATTCAGTGCAAGCAGGAATGATACATGTTTGGCAGAATAACCTATGAGGTTCTCTGTGATTATCACACAAATTGTTGGCAAGATTATTGCAAGGACTCGTACTTATCTAAACAAAAAAAAATATTCTTAGTTTGGTAACTACGTATTTTACTTCTTAGTTATAAATGACGCTCAAATCAAATGTTTAGATTACATTACAAAAGAATTTAAAATTACTAGTGTAATCAACTCGGCCGATAAATGAGTAGTACGCTGAAAGATAGTCGCTCATTAACTGATTAAATCGTAGTTGAATATCTTTTCGACGAAAATTCACATGTACTGCCACGATACATTTAGTATTTGAGTACTGTGACCAACAGCTCAACCTACTCCCAAAGAAGCTTGAATGAAGTTAAACTAAAAACAAAAGAATATGTGGTGAAGATGATTAGTTATTTATTAAGGTATTGCGTAGGGTTTGAAGGTATTTTCTGCCAGTATTTTACGTTTCAAATTGTAGTTCGGAATTGATAACTTGAATATAAAGAAAGCTGATGAGAATTTAGATTAAATCAACTACTTTAAATATCTAGGTGTCGACATGCAGCATAATAAATCAACGAAATATTAGAAAGAACAATGGAAATATACGATCCTTTGAATTCAATATCATGAAGGTTATTAACAACAAACAAATATCACGACAAACGAAGATATCTAAATATATTAAAAGCAATATATAGACAATCTTATCTAACAGATTAAGTTTACTAATGTCGCAAAAGTATTTCAAATTACGCTATTTTAGAGATATCATCGTGATGTTCAACAAGATCAGGCACAAGTAGACCTGACCATAAAAAAAACTACAAAACCCAGTAAGTGTTAACAACTCCTATTGGAAGTAAGAATCAACTTCTAGCAGTTGCGTCCCATACAACTAGCCAATAGGTGGATCCTAATCACATACCTAAGCACCGCATGGTCCTAACCCAAGTCACCAAAAAAGAGACTGCGACTGATAATACAAACAAAGAATAGGTATACGCATATAGAAGAATCTTTCACTGTCATTTTTTAGCGTCGGCAAAGGATACACAAAACAATCAATCAAGTTGATCATGATTTTAGTTCCTTATTTGTACCACTAGGGAGCGGTCATGTCAACGCTATTACTGCTTCTACAATAAGAAAGAGTGGGGCAACAAATGCAACTTTAGATATTTTTCTATGTAGATGCAGCGTGGTCGTAGAATAGCATTAAATTTTTGGGTTTACTAAAACCAAATTAGCAATACGTAAGGATATAAAGAGCCTTTGGGACAATACCATCACACCCTTCTAATAGAGTTAAGAAACCAAGGGCTCTAACGAGCAGACTGAGTCATAAAGCACCGTGACAAAAGACACCATCCTGATACTCTAGATCGGGCTCAAGCAAATTTGATCATTAACAAGCTGGAGCAAGCACTTAATGAGGCTCCTATCGGAGGTCAAAATGGAGTTCCATAAAATATCGTTTAACGAAGGGACCCTGTAAGTGAACTGTGATAACGAGTATACAAAAAAATGGACGACTGAAGTGGTAAAGACTATTAAGAGCCTGTGGGAGGGATATATATTGAAAAGAATATTATTTAGTTGAAAGTTGAATATACTATGTAGTAATCAAACACTAAGTTAACATTTGGCTTCATTTTTGAAACTAATATTTTAATGTCATTAGTTTATATTCAATTAAGTATAAATCAATTTAAAACTATATTGTAATAATTTCACCAACATTTATTCACTGTGAAAATTATGTTTTGCTAGTAGTTATTTTAAAACAAGATTAAATAGTATCCATACAGCGTAAAAACTTTCAGATAGACTGTTCATTAAAAGTTACTATTAAAGATTTCAAAAATAATTCAGGAATGCTTTTTGTTGTTGTTAAAAGATTATGGATGAAAAACTTAGTAAAAAGTTTCATTGAATACTTTTTGGAACAGGATAATTGTTCAATGAAATAATTTAGAAAATAGTCTAAAAAGTTTTAAAAGTCCTAAGAAAATGAAATTTTTGGTTGAATATATTGTGAAAATTTTTTAAAATGTTTCGTAAATTTTTGGGCAGGAAAACAGTATAATAAAAAGTTACGTGACGGTGTTTTCGTAGTGTTGTAACAAACCTATTTTTAATTCTTCTAATCTAATCCTTCTAATTATTTATTTAATTTATAAAATTTTATTTACATGTAATAAAAAAAATAAATACTTTGAATATTGTAAATTTCATACCTTTTTAATATTTAAAATTTAATATAATTTAATAAAAATACAACTTAATACAATTTAATATATTAAAAATAAAGATTTTATTGTGTAAAAAACAAAAAAAAGACAGTTTGCAAATTAATAGCGTCGAAATTTGATTAAGTGTAGATGTATAAGTTAAATAAATAGCTCCGTTCGTACTTCTTTCCCACTTCCCCCTAACTATATCTTTTATGGTGGTTTTAAGAAGATGGCCACGGTTTGAGTTTATGCAGTCGCCCTCGTTTTGAAGTATAATATCCGTAACCAAATCGTCCATTTGAACTGTTCTTCTATATGCGTTTTATATTCTTTGATACAATTATCAGGAACCATTTAAGAAAACAAAATCTCGATCTGCCGAAGTTCCAAAGACCTATACAATAGTCAAACTACATAATATGACATAAAGAAAATGAAAATCACAGAGAGATGGAATATGAAGGAGATGATGCTTGGATCCGCATTACTTCCATATTATGATAATGATAATCACCGCCAAAGGAGATGGAACAGCTAGTAATATTGTAGGCTGAATTAACTAAGTACAATAATTGAAAATAAACCTACTTTCGTGCCTTTACAACGAAATCAGGTAATTTATATACAGTACATAGTGACTTTTTTTGGTATTAATGAGGATTCTCATGTAGCCAGAATCATCAATTATATTATTTTAATAAAGTCATCGTGACTTAAACAGTTAAAAAATGTGTCAGATCAGGTGTTTTGTTAGACTGTCGAGAAATCTGTTCTGAAATAACAGGTAATGAGTATATGAAGGAAACTTATCGTAACCCTCGTAAAACAGACTGGAGAGCAGATCAAACAGACCTAGAATATCATTTAGGCAAAATTAGAAGGAAGAAGTCATATGGCTGCCGAACAATTTCAAGGTGATTATGCGTTTGAAGACAATTTGTCCCGTTATAAAAAGGAACTCTAACAGGGTAGTATCCTGGTGGAATAACAACTGTGCAAATTAAAGACAAAAATTCGTTTTCATTAAAAGATTAGGTGTAGCAATTATCGTAAAGTTCTGTACAAATATAAAAACTGAAAAGGGGAAATAAAGAATCGTGTAGAGAGTATTGCAAGAAAAAACTACACATATGTTAAGGTTCCATAAAGTTATCGTCAAGAACCCTCAGGAGAAGTATAGCCTCACCTCAAAATGAGTCAGGTGAATATACTTAGAATAGTAAAGGTACCCTGAAAGAAATTTTCAAGGTACAATCTCTGTTTGAATCTCTCTACAAGTTTGAACAAAACTAATACAACTAGATACGAGACAGCTGACTAGACTGAAAATCATAACTTATGGTTCGAGAAAAAACTAGCGTGTGCAAAAGAAGTGGTAGATCAGGACAAAAATAAACAAACTATGCAGCAATATGCATCACCATGTCTAGACGGAATTTATCAAATACTTTTACAGAAGGGAAATCACCTTATGTACATACAAAAACTTATGTACGCCAGCTTAGAAATGGGGTACATACCAAAAGCATGGATGGTAATAAGGGTGGCTTTTACACTCAACCCTGGCAAACCGGATAGGAAAACACTATAAAAGACTAGAAAAACATCGACAAAACACCGATGGCCACATTAGGCCAGTATGGGTATAGAGCAGGATTTCTTAAGGAAATTGCACTGCCCCATCTCGAACAGAGTATAAGGTAATTCTATAAAACCAAGAGGTGATGATGATTTTTAGACATAAAGAAAGTATTCGACTACACATATGAAGCAATTACAAGGACGAGTCCAGTACAAGTAAAGATATCTCACGAGAGAAATGGGGCAGAGAAATCACACAATCCAAGCTACATTTTTATATACAGTATATTCGAAATAGAAACATTTCTACTCCACTAGGAATAGATATATATCGCTATATTTTAGGCAGAGATTTATAAAATATTGCATTGTCCAAAAGAAATTTTGCTCAATGCACAATTTCACAATACCGGGAAGAACTTGACAGACTGGCAGAACATAATAGTGTCACACTGGTATGGGTGCCAGGTATCAGGTGAATACACGGCAATGAAAAAGTTAATAAGTTTGCCAGAAAAGCATCAGCTACAAAATACTTCGGACTAGAGCCGCTCGTGTGAGTGCTAAAAAGCATGGTCCGCGACCGGAAAAAACCCGGATCCGAACGCAACATAACTCTCACTGGGAAAAAATCTACGGCCAAATACTCGTACATGACCAAATGTATATTGGGCGGACAAGCAGAAAGTAGCTCAGAGTCATAACAGGCTTCCTTGCAGGAGCCGGACTCAGTAGAGAGGACCTGAAACAGTCAACCATAGTTTGCATGGTTGCGAGTCGTTAGATCGTAGTCGTCAAAAACTTTTCTGAAACTATCAGGTGACTCAAAACAATGTTGCCCATCTTTTATATCTTGTAGAAGCTTGTATAGAGGGTTCCAGAATCCTGGAGTGAGTACTGAGTGAATAGAAGATATACAATAAGCTAACTGGATGCAGTATATTCGTTTAAAAAAGACAGTTTCAATAGAAAACAACAAAAAAAACGCACATTGAAAGAAGATATATCCAGATAATAACCATTATATTGTCAACGTGATCAAATTATTTTTAGAATCTTCGTATCAACTCAAACTACCTTTTGAAAAATTCACTGCTAAACAAGTTCATCAGAAAATACAAACAGATCTGAACCCAAAAAAGTGGTACACTAGTTACTAGCGATATTTACCGCAATTCTAAAAACTGATAACTTTTCCTTATTGTGGACAATTGCAGCAATTATTGTAATTCTTTAACCCGGTAAGTTAACGTTACACTTTTCACCACCATAAAAACAACAATCATCCAAGATACCACCAAAAATAGCCAAATGCATAAGAAAGAAAGGAATAACACCAGCTTTCAAACCGAACAATAATTTAATCAAATATTAAGAACAAGACTCACAGAAAAAGCACAAACACAACCATGTACACATGTATACAAACTTTCAGGAGGTGACTGCTCAAAAACTTACATTGGTAGAACCTTTAACAAATGTATAGCACAATACAAAAGGCTTTCAATAATAGAAAATTTCAATTTCAATTTCAAATTCTCCATATTTAAAATAAAGGCGTTAAGTTATCTTTATTAGAATCTATGGAAATTAATAAATAAAATAAAAAGTTTAGAAGCATAGTAAAAATACATCACCTCAGAATCTGCTGTAGTAAAAATAAATCGTAATAAATTTTGTAGTAAGTGTAGAAAACAAAAGTTTCAGATTTTGTTCTTAGTACCTATGTATCGCAAACTAGTAACAACAGATATTCAATAATCCTGGTCCGATATTAGGGTACTTTTCCCTAAACCCTAATTGATAAATAGGTATTTATTCTTCTATATCGTTTTTATCATGATTTGCTGTACTTGACAATAATAAATGTTAATAAACTTTTTGAATTATGGTTTGAAATATTTACTAATTGAAATAGTTTAAATATCTGTTGTAGATTATACCTATAATTAAATTTATTTTTAAAGAAAATAATGATTAGTATATTACCTGCGAGGATGATCCCAAGGAACCACCGCCTACGGAATGAGAAACTGAAACACCTGAAGGTGCAAATTTTGATATTCGATGGTCTTTGGTAAGGCGAACTCTTTGATGGGCGCGAACACATGTGTCACACAATATTTCACTACAATCCATGCACTTTGAAAATGCAGAAGCGCCTTCTTCGCAATTCCCACATACCGAACTATCTTCTATAGTCACAGCCTAAAAGAATATAAAAAAGGTAATATCTTCTACAGTCGACATTAAATAACAAAAAAAGTTATTTCATTTATAAATTGAATTATTTTTTATTATAGAGCGCTTATGAGATTTAAATATCCTAATTCCATTAAAAAACAACGTATGTTTTTTCAAACGATATATTTTATACCGATTCACTTTTTAGTGTTAGTTTAGTTAGAGAAACAGTTCCAGTGACATATAAAAGAAACCCTAGGCTGGGCAGTCGACCAGTCAAGCACGGAAATGTGGAACAACTGCAAGGAGGCTCTGAAATTAGCAGCCGAAAGCACTTGGGAATATCCCGAACCCAAGAAAGAAACGACTGGTTCGATCAAGATTGCAAAAAAATAACAGATGAGAAGAACGAGGCATTTAGGACCATGCAACAACGAAAAACTAGAACAACAATAGATACATACAAAAACTTAAGGAGAGAGGGAAAAGGCATACACCGAAAAAAGAAACGAGATTCGGAAAATGACATATTAGAACGGCTCGAAAGCCATATGAGTCACGGAGAAACAAGAAAGTTCTATCATCAAATAAATATTATTAGAAAAAAATTCAAACCAAGAATCAACTATTGTATTGGTAAGGAAGGTAACTTACCAACAAAGAGGATATCCTTTTACGATGGGTAGACCACTTTCGAGAGTTGCTGGAAGGGGAACCTACTAACAATATAGAGCTGGAATACCGAAATGAGGAACTCGTGGAACCCCCTTCGGTAGATGAAGTGAAAATATCTATAGAAAAAATAAGGAACCACAAATCCCCAGGCAGCGATGGCATCCCAGCAGAGTTATTTAAGCACGGTGGAGAGCAGCTCACCAAGGTGATGCGAGAGATTGTTTGTAAAATTTGGTCTGAGGAGCTTAGGCTTAATTTGCCCGTTACACAAAAAGGGAAACCAACTGGAATGCAATAATTACCGCGAAATAACTCTCCTAAATACAGCATACAAGATATTGTCAAACATTTTGCACGAGAGATTAAAGCCATATACCGAAATATTTTTAGGAGAATATCAGGCATGATTCAGGCGTAGAAGCTCAACCATTAACCAGATCTTTACACTACGACAGATCCTCGAAAAAGCGCAAGCATAGATATGTATCATATTTTTGTCGATTTTAAAGCGGCATATGACAGTGTCTTAAGACCAAGTCTTTACAACAGTATGAATGAGTTAGGAATTCCAAAAAAACTCATATGGTTGATAAAAGTTTTAATGGCGAAGATGCTATCAGCAGTAAAAATTCAAAATGACTCGTCAACCCCATTTGAAATACATACGGGGTTAAGGCAGGGAGATGCGCTGGCGTGTCAGCTTTTTAATGTAGAAAAAGTTGTATGAGACGCTAATTTAGATAGCAGGGGAACAATATTTAATAGATCAGTCCAAATTCTAGCATATACAAACGACGTGGACATTATAACAAGAACCAAGGCGAGAACTGCGGAAATCCTAACCGAGCTAGTAGCAGCAGCAGAACGAATAGGGTTACATATAAATCAAAATAAAACCAAATTCATAGCGACTAACACAAACACAAGAGCTGGAAATGTTGACGCAAATTTAATAATCAATGACCAATGAACTTCGAAGCGGTCAAGGACTTCATATATCTAGGGACATCGGTTAACCCCAAAACACATCTGAGGAAATAAAAGGGCGAATAATAATTGCAAACAGGTGTTATCATGGTCTATCAAAGTACTTAGCTAACAAACGTCTGTTTTAAAAAACTCGTATAAGGCTGTATAGAACACTGATAGTCCCTGTTCTCACATATGGATCAGAGGCATGGACGCTAACTAAAATAGATGAATCAGCTCTATCGATTTTTAAAAAAAAGGTGCTACGCAAGATATTTGGAGCGGTCTGTGGGAACGGAATATGGAGGCGTAGATATAACTTTGAACTGCAGAATATCTACAAGCATACGTTTGGTGGTAAAGATATTACCACTATAGTTAAGCGAAACCGCCTGCAGTGGGCAGGACATGTAGCCCGGGCCCCTGAATCGAACATGATAAAAAAGATTCTAACAGCGCAACCCGTGGGAATGAGAAGACGGGTAGACCAAAGCTAAGGTGGATGGATGGGATAACACAAGATGTGGAGAAGATCGGAGTCGGCAACTGGAAAATGTAAGCAAGAGACAGAACAGAATGGCGTAGAAAGCTTGAGAAGGTCGAAGCCCTCTAACGGCTGTAGCACCAAGATGATGATGATGATCACTTTTTAGTAAATTATGTTTGTGTAGTACTTATTGGAACTCATAGGCAACCGTGAAACTTTGATCACGTCAGTTGATAATCATTGGATATACTTCATTTAATTGGATCTGCATTACCGGCCGCCCCATACCTTAATACGTTTCAAAACTTTTCACAATAAACATAGTCAACATACAAGTGGCGTCTTACTTTTTTGTTTAAAAAAACATAAGATTTTCTTCATCTTAAAAAATGTAGCTCTTCTCTATACGTATTTCCAATTTCTTTTCTCATGTCCCAGTCTCATTTATATTACAACCAAAATAAGTGATACTGTTGGTTCTCTCCAGTTGTTCTCCATAAGCTTTTACTACGTTTGGTTATATTGGCACTTTACTGCCAACCATCCCCGTTGTCTTTGTGGTGTTTTGCTTCAGTCCATATTCATCACACTGTGGTAATCTGAATAATCAGTTGTTGAAATTCTTCCTAACTATTTGCAATTAACACCGTATCATTCGCGTACCTCTTCTTCTTCTTCGTGTACCATGTCCTTTCAGAACGTTAATTACCATCATAGCTATCTTAATTTTATTCACTGCCACCCTAAAAAGCATGCTTGTATCAACACCATACCAATCTTCTTCGACCTGGACTGCGTTTGCCTGCAGATTACCTTTTTAAGGTTTGTTATACATCTATATTACTAGTGTTTGTAATTTTGTTCTAAATGTGTTGTAATTGCCATACGATAAATAAATAATCTCAGATTATTAAAATTAATGCCTTTAATTTTGATACCCTATTGATCACTGTCCAATTCTTTATTGAACACGAACTCCAAATGGATGTTATATATTAGTGGGGACAAAATGCAGCCCTACCTTACTACTCTTCGTATTTGAAGAGCTTCAGAATAATCCGGACCAATCCTGATGCTTGCACGTTGATGTCAGTAAAGATTTTTAATAATATATAGGTCTTTGTCATCAATAGATACCGTCTGAACAATGGCTATCAGAAAATCATTAAGTATATATATATATATATATATATATATATATATATATATATATATATATATATATATATATAGTGAAAAGGAGATAATACTGGGAAGTACCCTTTTATAACTGAGGAAGCAAAATAAAACTAGGGTGCTTCGTTCGATGTGCTTTTAATTAAAGGTCTAAGCTTTCGTCAATGATTATTGACATCATCAGAGTAAACTACAAACAAACGAGAGAACAAACAATGAACAAGTGGAACCTAAGTATACAAATTTATAAAACACTTACCCTAATTCTAGCAAGTAACTCAGTGACTTGGGTTGAACACAAAGAAAGTACTTTTAGATTGTTTTTAAACTAGTAAAATTTTTAAATTGTTTGTGGTTAGATTTATAGTAAATATATCGTTTATAATTAAATAAAAAACACAGTGTAAACTATGGATACCATTTCTGCAACTATATATATATATATATATATATATATATATATATATATATATATATATATATATATATATATATATAATAGGATGATTGATGCCATTATCGCAAGTATAAACAGAAGAAAAACCAGAACATATAAAACTACAGACTACAGAGAGCGGTTACACAAGGCGATTCTATCTTACCCAAGCTTTTTACTTTAGATCTAGCTGTTTCCCACTATAACTTTCGTTATAATGGGAAAATAAAGGAGTGACGACAAACGGCGATGAATACCTAAACCTCCTGAGATTTGCGATGATGTTACGTAAATAGCAAAAGACAGAAAAGAAATGGCAGAAAATGCTATTAGGCCTAAATATACAATCAACAGAAATAGGTAAGAAAAATAAATCTAGCAAAAATAAAATGTCTAACAAATGAATCTTTAGATATAACTAAGGATATAACTCTGGACAATAACAATATAGGAAAGGTTGAGTAGTATATATACTTAGGACAAAGAATAGAACTATCAAAGCTTAACATAAGGCTGATGTAAATAGAAGCTGATCCTTAACATGAGCACCATTTGGAAGATTACAGTCTTTAAATCAAACTTACCAAATACTTTTAAAAAACTTTTGATCATTGTAGAATTAAAACATGGGCATTTTAGAAAGCCATGTGAAAAGATAATCAAAAGTAACAGATGTGATCCAAAAGACTGCCTTGTTAGAATAGAACTGTTTAGACATATAGGAAGAATAGAAGGCAACCGTTGAATTATTTTATGATGATAAAAAAAAATAAAAGAAGTAGAGGCAGATCTCAAACCTGGACTGATGACATCAAGCGAATATCTGGTAACGAATGGATGCAAAAAAACACCGAACAGAAATGGACATACCTAAGCCAAGCTTACATTCGAAGATGGATGGTATAGCTGTCGATGATAAGGATATAAAGAATATAACCGGTATAATGCGGAATCACGTTTAGCCGAAAAATGTATTTACAACTGAATCATTTGATTCAGTTTTACACTACAATATTTATGTATCTAACTAAAATAATTTTAAGTAAATAATATTAAAATATTTAGTTCAATACTTACCGAAATAATGTCCGATATAAAATTATCTATTGGGGATTCCGAAGAATTGCTAGCACCAATGTTAAGAGGTAGACTGGAGGTTGTCGAAGAGGGAAAACTTGATGTTGTAAGGCAAGACATTTTCTAGTTGGATGGATCTATGGTAGTTATGGTTGTATAATGAAGAGCTGAAACATCAAATTTATCTTATTAATAATTACTAAGAGCTTACGGTATTAGTGACTTTTTACGTGAATTTTGATTTATTTTTATTAATTATAGATTAAAAACCGTCATTTTGACAGTTACAGCAGTAAATGTAAAATAAAATTTACTATTTTCTTGTATTATTTATTTTATGTCATACTAGTTCATTATTGTGTTTTAATTGCTTAGTTACCAACTATATAATAGTGGATATTATACTTTAAACCCGTGCGGGCATAAAGTTCAATTTATGGCCCGCACAGAGACAAAAAATGAAGAACTTCTTAATAACATTTTTTATTTAAGTTACAAAATATAGAATTAAATGATTTTACAGCCACAGTAGACAAAATTTCACTGAACAGCACTGGTTCCTTTTAGAACATGGTTGATTCCGTCTGCACGAACGAGATGCGCGTACTTATCTTGACAAGCAGTGTAGGCATTCTGATTGTTTTATTATTCTGTGCTCTCGGGCATCTACTTAATGCCCTTTGTATGCTAATAACCATGATACTATAACAACAAGATATGCTCACTTGCTGTTCTAATTTTAATTGATTTTGCGCATGTCGTCATATCGAGACAAAGCCAGGGGACTTGTATGTATCATATTTTAACGATGCATCATATGGCAACGTTGTTCCATTACTGTAATGAACAACTTCAAAACTTAAACTGTTTACGGTAAGTGTACCTCGATGCCATATCTTGCACTAAGAAGTCATAACTAGTTACTTTATGTGAAAACGTGTTTTGAAAATTAATAAGTAATTTATAAAAGTAATAAAAGAAATATATGAATCTACGATGTAATTGTGTGTATTACAAACAAAATAAATATTGCTACAAAACATAAATTAAATATGAAAGGCCAGCAAAATGTAAAGAATTTGACCATAATGGAAAAGCAAGTCATACTTGAGACTTTATGAATATCATTTAGACATTTATTTTACAATCTTTGTGATTTTTCTTTTGCGGTATTGTAATTATCTTTAATATTTTGATTTAGAATTCGTATTTTAAAATACATTTTACATCTAAAAAGAGTAATTTTACATCTTCGCTAACATTTACATATTTTGCAGCTTCTATTAAGTTTTTTAAATAATTTTTTGTTATTTTTAATGTGTCGCCATTATAACTACGAAACATATTTCCAGTTCACTACATACTACATACATCCAAAGTAACTTTTTTTAAAGACCTATCAAAAACAACGTATTAGTTCAAGTTCTATTAAAATGGGCATTAGTATATATTATTATCTATAGAAACATTTATTATTGTCTATAGAAACATTTGCTCTGCTGTTAAAATTTAACTTGCTGTGAGACAACTAAAGTTGTCTCGGGTTTACGTCACAAGAACATGCGCGTTGACTTATCTTGTTTTCATCAAAGAATATAGACGCTTTATAGACGCTAAGCGTTTATATTCTTTGGTATTATATCATGGCTAAAAACTATTGTGGTTAGGATATACAGAGACATTAAAAAAGCACCAGTGAACAGTTTTTTAACATTTATATTTATGGATTATTTTTATACTAAAAATTAATTCCGTATACTAAAATATCTAAAAACAATAAAAGTTTATATACAATAAAAATTTACTGTCCCGAATAGAGTTGAATAAACTGTGACGTCATAAACGTCATATAGTTGTTATTTTTCTTTTCATAATTATTTTATTTCAATTTCTTTTGATTCTATTCATTTATTAACTTTATCCTTTATTTTATTATTTTTAATTTGAAAAGTAGTTGACGCCCAATTCTTCAATCTATTAATGCTCTATTTAATCTTTATTTTTCATTTTCACTAAATATTCTAATTCCTTTATTCAGACCCTATTATGTTCTATGAAATGATGGAACATAATACGATCTGACGATATAATAAATCAAACTCGTTTTATAAAGTCCCCAAAATGCGTTACTCAGACGGGAACATAAAACTGCTTACATTCAGTTACGGATTGGAAACAACAATTGGAATCTACTTAAATACTCCCGTCATTAGAACTTATGCAGAGGCTAATACTAAAACAGATCAACATACTCTACTAACACGGAATGACATACCCAGACATAACATATAAATTCGAGGTAATGAGTTGCCAAATATAGAACTTGACGTAATATACGATAAATCTGTACAACGCAACATAAGATAATGTCGCCATATTTCATAAATGGAATACGTGAGCGTACCCACAGCTTGAATTTACATATTGCATAGGCCAGCAACTGTTTCCCAAGAACAGTTGAACCTCCATCCTGAGAAATTTAAGGAATATTGTAGTATCTGGTTCCGTGATTCCTCTGTCACATAACGTGACGAAATTGATAAATTGGAAGAATAAGTTCTTAGGTTATCTGGTTTGTCCATTTCAGGACCTTCAAGAAGTTCTGCTATTTGACTGTTTACGTCATCGAAACCCTGACTATAATCAACCAGTGCTTCTAGATTACAAACTCTAGTAATTTTAATTACAAACGGTTTTTTTCGCTAGTGTTAATGGCGATTGCTGATGCAGATAACGTGTTTACGAGAATTGATGTAGGTTATTTAGAACGAAATAGTGATTGAGCAGTATTTAAATAACTCACATCGGAAAAATTTTACAAAAACACAAATTCGACATTCCTGAACCCTCGCATTTACCAGAAAATTCTCCTAGGGAACCTTTTTCTTTTTCTATAGTGGAGTGGAAGCTTTTCTATTATATCCTCAAAGAATGTTGAATTCCACAAGATGCATTTCCAACTTTAGACTGTCACGGGAAGAAATTGTATTGAATGTTCGTTTGGAATCTTAGTGTCTAAAGTTTGTATATTCGAAGGGCCAATTTGTTGTGAGGATAAAACTGTAAAGAAACTTTTTAAGGCTGCTGATATTAACATAATTTTATATGAATACAAAAAAGGAGAATTATCGACAACCCAATTTACAAATTGGATAGGAATCAATATGGATATCGCGAAACGACAGTGGAAATGAAACTATCAAAACCTGTCCTCTAGATGGCTACTGGATTCAGTAAATTTGTACTGTAAAGTGATACTAGTAGGAAAGTTTTGGGGAAGTTCTGATTTTTTCATCCCATATGTGTTTTAGGGTGCTAAATCTGAATCTGAGGTTTGCGGACAAAATTTCGCAACATTTAAAAAACCAGAAGAAATCGTTTTTTTTTGCTTTTTTCCGGTTTTTTGCTTAAAACTCGAAAACTGTTAACTTTTAGTAAATGGCCTGTTTACAGAAATGAAAGTACTTAAAGTTCTGTACAAATGTCACTATTTTGGTTATTGTACAGACGAACCGTTCGGTCTCAAGTGCAAGTTGAAAATTGGCAATTTGTACCGGTGTGACTGCAAAACCCACTTTTTAGATTTGTATTGAAAGATTTTCAGTTAATTTCCTCTAGTATTTAAGTTAATTAAAATAAAGATCGAGTCACACGGATAATTCACGTTTTGACTCAAATATTATAGTCCAAGGAGGTGGGCATGAAAGATATACAGCGCATTGTTGATTGTGATTTTCAAGCTGTAAAATTTAAAAGAAGCGAAAGAGTGCTGCCTCTTGCGATCATGAACAGCTCCATTCAAATACAAGGCAGGGTTGTAGTTATCAATCCCATCACACTTTTTCAACGAATGACCATCGCGAAACATTCAGATAAAGAGCTGCAAGAATTTTTACGTTACGAACTTAGCCCCTATCCTCTTGTTCTTTTTGATGGGCATGGGATGAGGAAAGGAACAAAATCCAGTTTGTACAATGCTTTTACACCTACTGAACAGACTGAGTTTAACAATACAAAATATGTCATCGACGGGGGTTTTTTGTTACACCGGGTAAAATGGCGCCAAGGTCAGACATATGCAGCAGTTATGTATAATATGTCAAATCAAACTACAAATCAAGTGCTATTGTCGTTTTTGATGGCTACCCTGACGAGGTTTGTGGTAGCACCAAGCGTTTAGAATGATTGAGAAGAGCACAAAGAAAACAATCTGCTACAATATCATTAACAGAAATGATGGTGCCCACTGTGTCGCAGGATAGTTTTCTTGCAAACCCAAAAAACAAGAGCCGGTTTATATCTATGTTAATGGAGAAACTTCATGATGTAAAAATTTATTCAAAGCAAGCTGTGGAAGATGCTGATATCCTAATTATCTCAACAGCTCTTGAGATGGCCCCGTCAAATGAACATGTGACATTGCTGGGAGAAGATATCGACCTACTGGTAATTTTGATTGGCCTTTGTAGCCCTGATATAAAAAATGTATTTTTTTTGAAGCCAGCAAAGGAAAGGTTTCGCAAAGCCTCTACAACTCCCATCTGGCTGCTGAGAAAATCCTATTGGATCATATTTTATTCCTGCATGCGATGAGTGGTCGTGATGCTACTTCTGCATTGTTTAATCAGGGGAAACTGAAATTTCTTAAAGTCCTGCAGAAGAACAAAGATTTGCAATTGGTAATTGAATCTTTCAAATACCCTAATTCAAGTCAAGATGAGATTGCCACAGCAGGAAACATGTTTCTCACGGCTCTATATGGAAAAAAAGAGACAAAACTAAACGATTTAAGATATAAACAATATGTATCTTCATCATTCAAAAATAAGACCAACATTTCCTCATTGCCCCCAACTGAAGCTGCTGCACGAGAACATTCACTGAGAGTTTACTATCAGGTGCAGCAGTGGTTATCCGGTCAAGCCACACCTAATGAGCAACAAAAAGACCCAAGTGAGTGGGGATGGCAAAAAACTAGTAGTGGTCTTGTGCCAGTACCAACTACTTTGGACCCTGCACGAAACTCAATACTCCGGTACATTTCATGTAAATGTAAAAAGGGCTGTCAACGCAATTGTGGATGCAGGAAGGCGGGACTCCATTGTTCCACAATATGCGCATCATGCGAAGGACTGTGTAACAATGTTGAGCCCCCAAAAGACAGCTCTGACATAGACGTAGAAGAAACTGAAGAAAGAGGGAGAGGTATGTTGGATCTGACAAGTTATTTTGTAGTCATTCATCTCTCCTTGATATATGATATGTGTCTCTCCTCTTTTTAT